GAGTTCAGCTTTGAAAATCTTTTCCTCCAGATTTTATGATTATAAATCTCACTATGCAGTGCGTGCAATGTTCGCATACCGACCTTTCTTCTACAAACTTGCCTTATCGCTCTTTTCAAGTGGCGCCTTTGAAGTGCTCGGACCGTCGTGAGCACGCCTCTCACGTTCTCGTCAAAACCCGCCGACATTTCTTGTATATATCTTAGTAATTTTACTACATTTTGATTCGATTTCTTGTGCCATTTCAAGAGAAAACTTCAGGGAAACATGCATGTCTGAAAAAGTTGCGCTGAAATAACTCAATTCCCCGTAATCGCTAATAAACTTTAATGTCCCACGAGAGGGGACAGCGGAGTGCAATGTGTTAACTTGTAATATATTTGAATATTAAACTTATCACCGATTCAGAGTAGATTTTTTTAGCGAATAGACTATTTTGTGTTCGGGTTGATGGTAGACTGCCTGTTGTGCTTTGTGCGTTCTCGGAGGTAACCTCGGTGTGGGTGTGTGCTAAAATTGAGATAGTCGGATTCGTGGATTATTCAATTCTTGCGAGGTGTGAGGGAAACGATCGTCCTGACTGATCGATTTTCAAAATTATGAAAGTGACCGCCCCAAACTAAGGGTCACCCGCAGCTAGTGCTCGTACCCTCGGGTGACGCACACGAAGAATCCGAGTGTCCCAAAAATTAGCCGTAGCAAACAATAGTCCGGAAAATGCCTTTTCTCGGTGGAACATGCATAGCATAAAAAAAACGACTGGGAAATGACATTTGGTGACCAACTGTGGACCATAAAGGAAATACTTGAGTAGAGGACAGAACGGCTTTTAACGAAATTGCTTACTACGGGTGGTCTTGAATTTCAGTTGTTTTGTCCAAGTATAATTTATAAGGATTCGGTCATGTAACGTAACAAATATTGGAAGTGTATTCGACAATGACGCGAAATTCTCGCCATTTGCGTAGTCGTTGCCGGACTATGGATCGTGCGCGTATGCGAAAAATAACGAGCGGACGAGATTTGAAACGTTGGAAAGATGAACAGAAATTGAATGCAGAACACATTTACCTTGCACGAAGATCCTCTGGCTAGTCGCAATCTTTATTTTATGGTTTTTTTTTAAGAGTTTTGGCTGCGAAAATATTCGTCGTAACAACTCGACAAAATCAGAGGTTCGCGAAATTGTTGCGCGTAGATCATTGTTCGCGGCAGAAGTTCGCTGTTTACTCGCAGTGGAATCGTGAATTTTTCAATTCTCAGAATATTTGTCCTCGCTATGCTACTCTAGAAAATTAAAGGATCGTTTTATCTGATTTCGCTGCGTCATACCGCATGTGCCTCTATGACGCGAATTCGGGAAAGTTGCTTCTTTAGAAAACATTTATTCCAGCGAAAATAAAATAGAGTGCATCACGTACGCTACTCCGCGAAATTAAAGGATTGCTATGTTATGACATAATAACATATTCACCGTAATGAAAATTAACATAATTATTGTAACATATTCATTGTCTGAATTTCCATGAATTTCGTTTTTGTTTTGGAGAATGACCTTTTCGAATTTGATGCTTCCGGCAAAAGTGTTTGGCAAACAAAAATATGTCTGATCAATATTAAAATAAATATTATACTGCAGCTGCTTTCACTATATTTAGTCATTTCATAGTAGAAGCAAGTGTTGTTATATATACATATGTGCTCCAATAAGTAGAGAGAATCAGCATTGGTCAGACGCGCCAACTTAGCTGGTATCAATTGCTTATGCAAGCAAGAATATTCAAATTCAATTGTCTTCGAAATTAGGTCGCATATACGTTTGTATACAAGGCCAGTGTAGCATTTCAAAATTGAAGAAGTTGCAAATTTGCTTTACATAAACAAATTTCTAATCTATAATACTTATTTCGCGGTAATACTTTCTGCAGCAACATATAGAAAAGCATGAAATTCTGAAATCTAAAGATTTTTTCCGAAAATTATTTGTTGTACAAAAACAGTGTTCCAAACAAAAAGACTTTTCTCAACAAAATAATAAAATCTAAGATTCTATTATTAATACATACATTTGAACAAAGATTGAAACAATAGTGACTCAAAAGAGTATCTTGAACGAAACTCTTTTTCTAAAATCCTTCATTTTCAATCAATTTATAAAATTCAACGAGCAATGAGCAATAAATGAAAATTGATTAAATACAATAAAGCCTGATCCATATCTGTAACTTTTAATATTTTTCACCTTAAAAGCTCCGAAAAATTAATAAAAACATTTATAAACATTAGTAAGTTGGAAGAAAACGTTCTATATTTTACAATTTCATTTTTATATAGCAATATGCTTAACAATTTTTGTTTAATTTTTGCGTTATTAGGCGTTCCGAAAATAATAGCAAACAAGTCATTAGAATACTAATTGCGTTACAGTCCTCCGTAAGCGACGATCCGGCGTTCGTCGAAATCCGGGATTTCTTCGCTAATTTCATTTAAACTTGGACTAGAGTATTAGAAACTGTTCCTCTTGATTACAAATTGCCAGTAAACGTTACTTGTACACAAATCAAATTATCTTTTACATGTTGGCCTCGACATAGACCCGGACATGTATAGGTCGGTAGAGACACGAGCGCGCGGATCCGGGCATGTACACGCGGAACGTTCGTCCGCTAACGAACCAAGGCGTTTTCTGAATGCCAAAAAGCTCCGCTCGCTGGTCTTCGTCAGTGGTCTAGTCTCCTTTTACCTTCTTAATCTTTGCTAACGGAAGTTCTTTACGTTTCCTTCGTGATCCAATAAATAAAGGGAAAGAGCGAATCTCGTTTACCGGACACGTTTGAAACGCTTTCCTGTGCGACCAGAGGAGTCGGTGTCCTCGTCGTTTGTTCGGGACCACGGACCCCTCGACAAAGACAAGACTTGACTCATCATTTCATTTCGAATGGAATGCCTCGACAGCCTGCGGTAGCGTTCGTGGAAATTAACCTTTGGCTGGTAACGCCCGCGTCTCGCCAGGGAAGGCTGCCCCTCTGTAATCACGACGATTCTGACTCTGTTCTGGTTGTTCTAATCAATCGTTAATTGGAGAACTCGTTTCACAGCGAAAAAATTACTCTGGTTTCTTAATTATTTTTTAATTAGCCATGTCTCCAAGTCCCTTTCGGAAAAAGGAAGTTCCGCAATTTTCGAGCCTCTAATTTACGGGCGAACTTTTAATTGGTAGCATCGAGGTGACCGTAAACGAAATCTTAGGCGCTCGGAATTTTTCATTTTCCACGGACTTGGTTATCTTCTGTCGCGATAAAACATCACACGTATAGTTACTCACGCTGTACGTGAGTAACCGTTTCACATTATTTATTCGTATTTGATAACAAGTTTTCAGCAGTTATGCTGGGAAATTGTGCACGACGATTGCAATAGATCTCAATTTTTGCACTAGAAATATTAAACAAGCAAGTATTTGTGCATTAGTTGTATGAGATACGAGATTTATATTTTCATATATACTAACTAATATATAACTATAATAGTTGTATGAGATACGAGATTTATATTTTCATATATATATATGAAAATAATGAAAAAAATTCATATATATATATGAAAATATAAATCTCGTATCTCATACAACTAATGTATAAATACTTACTTGTTTAATATTTCTAATGCAAAAATTGAAATCTATTGCAATCGCCCTGCAC